TGTATATGTATAAACGGCAACGTCTGTCTGTCTGTCTGTCTGTCTGTCTGTCTGTCTGTCTGTCTGTCTGTCTGTCTGTCTGTCTGTCCGGAAATTCGGAATCACCTGAAGAGCCAGTTGGAGGGGGCGGGTCAAGGTGGGTTGCGTAGGGCATGGGACAAGTTGTGCGAAATATGCATGATGAGCCAAGCCAGCTGAGCCCCGCCTACGAAGGGAGGGGCTTGCCTACAGCGAAGAGCCTTTTATTTCGAAAATTCGTAATTCGGTTCTAGAAGAGTGCGGAAAACGGAAAAGGTGGGAAACCATAGACAGTAGACGAGGAAGGCCTACCCTTATTGGGGGGGGGGGGGGAAGTGCTACAGGTGGCCGTTTCAAAAATTTTTTAAAAAGGTCCTACTAGAGCCCGGGAAGGGGAAAATGTGGAAACATAGGAAATGTTTAGACAGATGAGATGGGGAAGGCACACCTGCTGTGAATGGAGCTTAAAAGAGAATTTCGTAATTCAGTTCCCATTGAACTCGGAGAGCTGGAAAATGGGGAAAAAAGGGTCGGCAAACGGGAAGCATATACAGTGGACGGGGCTTAATCTGACTACCACCTTCTCTACAGATCGATAAACTTTCACTTCTTCCTACTTACACCCGGCTTCGTTCAAATGATTTAAAAGGTTCCGCGTACCTACGCTGTACAACTGGAAGTAGGCCAACAGCAGGGGAAATACAGCTCTACGGCTTCAACTCTCAAACGCACCAACGCGTTCTCAACAATCTGCAAGACAGGTGGTAACTTGAAAGCAAGAGAACTGCTTACTAAGGGGGGTATTATTTGTAGATTCAGCGAAGCCGGGCAATGAAGTCATCTCCAGTCGCAGCCTGACTCAACAAACAGCTGCGAAACTTCTAGTATGGAGTCACCCATGGATAGCTACCTGGAGACCAGTACTCTCAATCTGGAAGACCTCCAACATCGAGCAGCTCCGACAACGTCGCTACGGTCTAGGACATCATCTTCACCGCAGTCGCCAAGGCGGTTGATGGTGACCGGACGTACCTGGAATGGAAAGACCAATATTTTCTTCGTGGACCCCGGACTGAAGGTGAGCGCTGGCGGTTACATCGAGCAACTCGAGAAGAATATCCTCCCCACATGTCGTCGCCGTACCTTCTTGGAAACTTTGTACTGCTACAGCATTGGGTGCCACCACATGGAATCGAAGGGCGTTGGAGAAACTCTCGCCTACTTGGAATGGAAGGGGGCTGAGTACCTAAAGAAGATGGAATATCCAAGTAGGTCACCCTGACCCTCAATTACCCGGTTCGGGCGGAGTTCAATAGGGTGGTCTACGGTGGCGGAGAAATCGACTATCTCGCTGATCTCAGGCACCACATCGCGGTCGCGTGCCAGAATCTCTCGATGGCGCTCGTCCAGAAGGCTGTGGCGGAGTGTCATGATAGTATTTAATATGCTCTTTAATATGGTGGTAAAATGTCCGATCAGAATTTGATAAAGTGTAACTTATAGCGCCTCGAAATAGTGACTTCACCCCCTTACTATATGCCGAGGTTGCAAGAAGAGAGAAGCTGGAGATTACTTCTTCCACAGTTCATTTTCCAAGTTCTCTCCATAAAATCTGGAAATTGCAGTTCAATGACCTCGAACACAATGGCGAGTACGTAGCTGTCGAACGTGGGCCATTCATCGACTGCAATTATGGAGCATATCGTCTTTGGACACAAACCGAGAGGGTAAGTCATTCACATTCAAAGGCAGGGGGCGGATGATCGTTTCCAACTTTATTGGTGGAAGGGCTAAGTGGGTGTGGCCAAAACGACCTCTTGCAGCCTTCCACCAATGACGTTGGCAATAACCGCCCACCTAGTGTTATCGTGCCCACTGCGTTTCAACAGGCGTTAGATCTAGGGGACAAGGTACGCAAATGACCCTTCGCTTGCGCGCAGTCGCAGAGGTCGTGTGGCTTCTGAAAGATAGCCAAGAAAGAGCTGAGGAACTATGCACCGTTGCGATACCGCCCAATTGTGATTTTATTTCCTTAATGCTTTATGGTCTGCCGTCTCGCTTGTCTTTCTGTTCTCTCACCCTCCGTCTAGTCTTTCTCTCCCTTGCTCTCAGTGTCTCTTCAAATCTGGCTTCTACCCGTGCTCGTACTTGTCCAAGATCAGTTTCAAAGATGAGGGCTAATTCGGGGCGTTTCCACGGTACTGTCCTCTATTTCCTCACTGGTGAGTCAGCTAGCTTCCCATGGACATGGAACCTGGACATGGAACCTGAGCTCACTCATCCAGCACCCACAACCGCAGAGTGATCATTCCATGGCTGCAACGGAAAATGCAGGACTGCAGGACTTTTGCTAATTTGAGCTCAAAGTCCATTTCTCCACCCGATCTCTGCACCCAGAACTTTTCCAGAGATGGACCTCGCTTGTACGAGTGACGGAAGCCAAGCCAGTCTATCTGGACTCCGGTGACAGTATGGACCTATATCTGAAGAAACAAGGCTATGGCAGTGTAACCGGACTTCCTTATCCACTTGATGGTCTTTCAAGAAGCCCAAACACATCAGCAGTGAATTTGAGTGGATTTTCAAAAGACAAGGTGAGAAATTCGCCAGTGTTTTCGTTATTCTTTCATGCATGTGGGTGGAGCCCTATTGATGACGTCTGAGGGCCAAGTTTTCCGGTTGCTTACGCCTCTATTCACGAAGTTATTTTGCTCTCTAACTGCTTTTGCTCTGAATTGATTGTAAGTAAAACGTCTTGTGAGGTCTTTCAGTGAGGAAATGCCCTTTGGTGGAACTCAGCCTAGCGCTTGGCGATATCGACTTCGCTAGGTGTGTCCGGATGGAAAGAGAGTTCGAAAAAATCGTTTGGAGCCTCTAGTCCTTTTATCTCTCTATTCTGCCCCCTTAAATTCAGTTCGGTTGTTAAAAGGCATTCTTGACCCCTCTCACCCTCGGAATCCTTCAGCGTTCGGTGGACATAACTGAGCTTATAGTGTAACCTAAAGACACACGGTAGAGTAAGCTCCCCAGTGGCCCTTCTAAGGTCCCTAGCTCTAGAGCAATACCACTTCCACCGCTTGAAAGCGCGCGGAAATCGAGCTGTAGGGCTGCAATAGCCGGGTGCACTTTATGTCTCCGCCCGCCTTCGACAAGCGTTCCACAGACGCACAACAAGGCCAGCTGCGCCTGATCATAGCCCACAAGCGCCACTTGTTCCTCAAACTTGATCTACGGTAAAGTCTCAGTTATGGCTCTGGTGCCATTGTCCTCTGTAGCTCGACATCGACAGCGTTCCAATACATTCACTGGAGGGTGATATTGCAACTCTTCTACAGCTACGGACCTGCCCACCTCACGAATGGAAGAGGTCCTTATCGCAGGTAAAGCTACAGTATATCTTCGAGAAATTGAATTGCGGCGGGTGCTGTCTGGTGTGCTGACAGAAGCTCCTTGAACTCGAGCGATTTTGCTTTCTTCGATGTCTGTCGTCTCGCTCCTTTGTGTGCTCTCTCGTTCTTCTTGTCTAGTCACTCAAAATCTCATCGGATCTTCAGCTCTCCCTTAGAAGTCCTCAGGGACTAGGGTCTTCTTCAGCGCGTTTCCGACGTTTCTTCCTGCTTAGTCATCTGAGCGCCAAATGCCATGCACGCTCTCGCCTTTCATCCCCTCCCTCAGCACAATCACGAGGTATGCCTTTATGCCAAAACTCCCCGTAATTGCAGGGTATAAGGGCACAACAATCGCTCTGGTCTCCTAGAACAGCACTTACAAAAACGATCTTCTTCAGGTTGGCGGCAGCTTAGAACGTCTAAACAAAGCTGGTCAAGAGTTGTGGAGCGAGCAAAACCATTCAGTTAGTATGGCCAATATCCGAACTACTGGTGACGAGAAAGAGAAAAGTAAGTTTATGCTATGAATCCAGCGCATCCTTTACTCCAACTACTTTTCACATGGACTTTTGAAAAAGTATGGAAGAATGCGCAGACAAGCGGGCGCAGTTTGACGACGGGGAGGGGGGGGGGCATTTTGCACTTTTGCTACTTCCCATCGACGTGTCGACCTATCTAGACAGCCTCTTCTCGAGTTGACAGGTTTTAACATGATGGCTTGACAACCTTGTTCCAGCTTCACAAGTTCACAGGTTTCGCCAGAGTGAGACATGTAAACCGGAACTAGGAAGCAATGATAGTACAAAATGTCCCCCCCCCCCCGTCGTCAAACTGCGCCGGTTTACCAGAGAGGCTTCTTCTAGTGCGTCTAGAGTTGGCGTCAGACAATAAAACTCATACAGTATCCCAGAAGATCCGAGATCTGATGGTAAATATTAAGCTGTTATGAGAGAGCAATCCGTGAGCACGACGCGGGTTGCCACGATTACTTGGAATCGAGACGATCACAGAAAGGGACCAGTGCAGTTTTTTTGTATACTCAGGCTAGCATCTGCATCCGCTTATCTCTGAGACGGAGTAGGCGTGGCTTCTGAGCACGGCACAGGACGGGTTTTCACGGGATACTTCAAGTTTGAAACAACTGCTATCTTGTTCTGTGTTAGATGTAGACATGATTACGACTGCTCCAAAATGACAATATCTCACGAAAACCTGGGCCGCCGCCATTTTAAAATCAAGTACGCAGCCACGCCTACCCGATCTCAGGGATTTCGAGTATATACACATACATATTTCAAATATAGCAAATACAACAAAGTCCTAAGTTTGAGTCTGACGTGCCTTGATGCGTTGGGGGGTTGGGGCTAGCAGTTTTCATCTGAGCACTGGTTCAGTCACCTAATCACGAATACTACGCATGCCTGGCTGGTAGACGTCTACCCTCCCCCTTCGTTAAGGGCACCCGCTTCGGAGGCATAATACACTCCATGCCCCAGATACGGAGTGGGTGTGGTTGCTTTTGTCACTTGAACGCGTCGGATGCACTGTAAATGTTTCCATTTGCGACAACTGTCAATGTCCTGTACTGAACAAAGACATGATTGTAATTGTCCTGGAATGCAGTATTCCACCGAAATTGCAGCCGCTGCCATCCCCAAGAAAGCACGCAGCCACGCCCATTTCCTGTGCGAGATATGAAATATATAGGCGCGGTGCCCGCCTGTAGTGCTGGCCCCAGGAATTCTTAAACAGGTGCCTTTATTGAGGTTAAATGTGTGTCACATTCTAAGTCGTAGTGCGTTTTCAACTTTCTCTTTCGTTTCCTCTTTCACCGTTGGAGTGATGTAGTGGCAAATAACAGCTTGTTGCACACACAACTTGGAATCCCTGAGATGGGGTGGGCGGGGCTGCGCACTTAGATTTAACGCGGCGATGGCCAGATTTTGGGAGTTATTTTCATTTGGGGACAGTTGTAATTATGTCTTTGTCCAACACAGAACAAAATGACAGTTGTCTCAAATTGAAATATCCCACGAGTAACCCATCCTATGCCATGTTCAAATGCCACGCCTACTCCGTCTCAGGGATAAGGAGTGTATTTCGGGGCTTGAATCCTGAAGGACTACTGCCCAGGCTGGGAACGATCCTGGTAGGTGGTAGGCCCACCTACCAGGATCGTTCAATTGATATCAAATGTGTCATGGAGGATGAACAGCTGATTCTTGCCACCCTTAGGAGCCATTCTTCAGGCTAAATCGCGTCAAAGAGCCGCGATTCTGAGTAGAGATGGGGGGAGGGGGGAGGGGGAGTAGCGTGCCACAAAAAGGGCTGATTTCTTCTGAAAGTTCTATTTTTTTAATGAATAAGAACGTGAAAACTTCTATTTTAATGAATAAGAACGTCAAGAGCTCCTATGTCGCAAGTAACTGGGATATCTTCCACGCCCAGAAAAGCATGAAAATGCGATTTTGGCGAAACAGAACAGAATGATTCCTTGTTCCAGAAAGTGAGAAATCGACGGCGAAGTCAAAGGAGGACGACCGACTACCACCTATCAAACCTAGCGCTCGTTTGCAGAAGGACACGAAGGACGAACCTACGAAAAGAGGCAGTTGTCTGGTTATCTATGAAACCTTAGAAGAAGACCCCCTCCCGAGCAGCTGCCATACAAGCTCATTACCTTTTTCTTTATAGTATTTTCGCGTTCAAAAAGTACAGGCGCCTTATACATGGGCTCGCGTTGTACCCCAGAAAACAGAGTGTTCTCAACTCAATCCGCCTTTTCGATAGGGGTGGCACCTAGATCAAGTCTCTTCTATTTCCTCTGCCCCCCCCCCCTCCTCACACTTTGCAGTTTACAATGAGCTATCACAACATTAGGTCAGAAACGCTGTTCAGAAGTACAGTCACCTGATTCAGAAGAGGGGAAAACAACTGTAAGGGCGACTGCACGCAATATCCAGAAGAGGAAATTTCCAGGAGTGTTCGGCGCACGGGTGAGTTTTCTTTTCTCAATCATCTGTCTTCCCTTTCTCAATGTTCTTTTTTTATTTTGTCCCTCCTCACTCCATTCTAATGCACGGCCCTTCTTGCAGGCATCTTTCATGCGCTAAAAAATATAGTCCCTGGCGGGGAAGAGTCAGGCGGCTCACGATAACCCAGGTTTTTTTACCAATAGTGGGCGCTTGGGGTAAGGGAACAACCTGGTTGGACTCATTTCAGCTTCATGACACCCCCTCGCCGGGACGCGAATAATATGCAAACTGTAACAAGGCATAGCATGGTTTAAGGAACACTCACGCGGTAGTCGTCTTAGAGTCGCCGAAAGAGAGGACTTTGTTCGGCGCACCTCGAACGGGAGATCTGCATTATACAGCGAATCAAGGTACCGCGCTAATTTGGCTAGCTCCCCGCCCCCCGTCTGGAATGGTCACCGTCCAAGCCGATGTAGTAGAACAAATTTCGAGAAGCAACCCGCCAAAAGTGAAAACGGGGAAAATTGCATAAACAGTATCAGTCTCTAGGCACGTCTGAAGAAAAGCACCTCGGCGCAATTACCTGCTGGCATCCTGCCAATAACCGCTACTTAATACGGCTGCATGCATGCGCCCACATATCCGCTTCACAACAATCCCTTCGCTTCATATTACGTCGTAATCGAGCGATATGAGCATCAGCAGTCCGGTTTTGTTTCGGAACATCTTTTGGGGCGGGGCGGGAGCTGTGGCGTCTAACAATAAGTCGCCTAATGTTGGCAGCTTGATAGGGTACCTATAAAGGGTACCCTTATCTGGCGATAAAGACGCCACGCACCGCCTGCTAAGGGGCGTGCGACCTGTCCCGCTAGGCGTATGGATTCTAGGGGATATCTATCCGTCTTGGGAATTTATTGTGCCACTTACTTCGAAGGAGACTGTAGAGATTTTTAGAGTTCACCGTTGTGGTATTGCAGTGCTCGTCAACTGGTTTCCACTAGTAGGAAGGAGCATATCAAAAGCGACTGAAAAAAATATTTATAAAAATTGGGAAAGGGGACGTTGGACTCAAAGGGGAAGAGTCATAAATGAGCTGGCTTTGAAAAGAACTGCGTGCCGAGTTCTCAGTTTCTCTCATGGTCGTGATGTGCTTTCATCTCAGCGTGATCATGTTCACACTTTTAGAGGGGCAGTTGGCATGGTTAGGGCGTGGCGGCCTTGCTGCGTACGGTCATAGTGTGCAGAGGAACTGAATGCTGTAGGCCAGACGCCTTTCTGCGCAACCTATCCCAAATAATAGTTGGCAGCACCGTCCCCCCGCCTCCTCTAAGCCCTTGAGTCTCCCGCGCGGAAGGTTTTCCGCATTGAGTGCTTAATCACATATTCTTCTCGGCTGAGGATTCATCCGCTGGATTTTCTAGAAGCAGTCTTTGTTCGCTGCGAATTGGGCGGTCAGTTTGTCGACGGGGGGAGGGGGGGGGGGGCATTTTGCTTTCCATAGATGTGTCGACCCATCTAGGCAGCCGTTTCTCGAGTTGACACGTTTAGGATAGTGGCTAGACGATCTTACTTCAGCTTCACAAGAGTTCACAAGTTTTACCAGAGTGAGATTTGTAAACCGGAACTAGGGAAGCAATGATAATACAAAATGCCCCCCGTCGCCAAACAGCGCCCGAATTGACTGTCATAGAGCTCGATTCGATGCGGCGCCAGCCCGTTCTGCACCAGTTATTGAAGCGAGCAAGCGGCAAGACCGTGTTACATTTTTTTTGCATGGGTCGTTTCAAACCCACTGTTGTCGCTTGTTCGCTGCAACAACTGGTGGAGAACGGGCTGACGCTGCACCAACGACTTCCCCTTTGTTTACGAACAAAATTTCGTGCACGCTAAGTGAAGTTTTCTTTCAAGACAAATCATTGGCGCCGTGGAATACGGGCAGACCAGGAACATTTTATGAGAAGATGGAAACGCGGCGTGAAGTAGTCACTGAAGGACCAAAATCAACGATATGGCGGGAGAAACACCGTCGAGGTCAACCGGTCAGTTCACCATTTCTTTCATCTCATCTTTATCTATCTTCATTTCTTTCTCTCTCCATCTCAAAGCCCATCCACTAGGGCTGCGATCATACTTTGTGGCAGCGTCCACCGGCGACCAATAGCGTCCACCAGTCGAGCATCCAGCTAGTTATAAACATTGATCTAGGTCTCCAGGTCCGCCAGCGTCTACCAGCGTCCATCAGTGTCTCAAGGGCTAGGGAAGTATAGGGTGTATTAATCAAGCGTCTACCAGCGTCCAGGAGAGGACAGTATTGCACGATAGGAGAGATTGGGCCTCTCTTCCAGTAGGCTGCCAGCCTCCTATATTCCCACACTTGACCAGCTATCGGCTATTACTCCCTCCCCGGCCTGCGCACGCTGGTCCGCTGGATGCACGCTGTGCCAGGACATGGTGCACGCTGGCAGACGCTGACAGACGCTAGAGCGATACCTTTACTTCATTAGTCCTCGAGACGCTAGTGGACGCTGGTAGACGTTGGCAGACGCTAGCTCGATATCTATACTTTCCCAATCCTGACGCTGCCGGACGCTGGGAACGCCGGCGGACGCTACTGGTCGCTGGTGGACGCCGCAAAGTATGAACGCAGCCTAAAGATTCCCCTGAAAGATAGCGAGAAGAAGATAGCGGGCAGATCAACGTTCCACTTGCTTTCGATAGTCGTCAGTCAAGCTCTTCTTTAAGATGACCGTGGTGCGGACGTACGAGAAAATTCGCGAATACAGACGATTTATCGACGAATACGATCCGGACTTTGTGGACTGATCAATATATTGATAAGCTTCTCGATTATTTTCTGTATCTAGGGCGCGAGCGATTCGAAATTGTGTATTATTATTTGTCCCGTTAACTCTGGGGATGAGTAGTGTGGCCCAATACATCCACGCAATTCATTATTCTATTCAGTCAAACTTGCTTATCGTAGTGTCTTTCAATGATTCCGCTGCATGTGATCCCACTAGTCTTTCCGGGTGTGACAGCTCTTATTCCGACAGGCGCCATCGTACTAGGCGCTGTCCACGCGACCAAATGCGACAAAATCGCGTGGAAATTTCGTGCGGTTATGGACGGCCGCTCGATTTTTTCGCGCGTGGCGAGTGATGAAGTAAGATGCTGCACACCCAGTCTTTCCGCTTTTGTCTGTATCCTTGGCCAATAAAGTATTGACTTGTTTTATCCTTTCCTTTGCTGGTGCAAAGCACTTCGCTGAGCGCAGAATACTCAGTGCTCTTGATGTCGGCTCATGGTATTTCATCGAAGAAACTATATAGTCATGATCCCTGCAAACAGTTGGGCGGGGCAAGGGCATGAGTTGGAGCGCAGCCAAACGGCCCTTCCACCAATTGCTGCGGACTCAGGGGGGCACATGATTGGTGGAGAAGGCTGTCTTAGCAACGCTCCAATCCACGCCCCGTCACACGCCCTATCATTTGCAGGGTTCATGATTGCAAATACGTATTAGGCCACAAAACGAAATTCGTCGTAAGCATGATATATCCAACAAAACAACCAAATAATTGAACACACAATATATCACTACTGATATCAGCGGCTCTTGGCCATCCCTCTCAATTAATGCATGTCCCTTTAGAACAACCCACTTGGCTGTGAAACAGACGACGAAAAGCCCGCAGCCAAATCGTTCTTCGATGATATATTAAATTTTTCGTCAGCCAATGAGATGTGCGCCGGACTGAAAATCGACGACCTTCAGTAAGTGGCAGTAAGCTACTGCGAGTGTGGGCATATCTTCATGTTGAACCACTCTGCCTCCATTGCCGAAGCTTTTTGGAGACGGCATTCAGAAAGGTATATCTCGGACTCAGTGGGACACCCACTTTCCTTCTAGGTTCGTTTGGTTTGCAGCACGGCGGGCGTGGATAGGTGCCTTAATCGAAACATTAGAATCGTAACCTTGGGGCGACACTAATACCGCTCCTTTTCCTAAGTTCGCTAGTCCTCCTTCCTAAGTTCTTAGTCCGTCGGCAGATGATTTCCGTTCTCTTAGCTCACTTCTTCACTTTGAAGTCCTTGAAACCATCTGCAGGATGGACTTTCCGTGAATGTTCTACAGGCAGGTACTGCACGATGGCCAGCGAATTTCAGTTGTTGTCTGGTCCCTGTGTAAGGTCCTGTTACCCATATCACACAGAGTGGGAGGGGGTTATTTATTTAAACGTTTGGTAAAAACTTGAACAACTGTGAACATGTGTCTTCTACCAGCACAAGATAGGATGACAGTCGTGACAATATCCAACGAGAAACGCATCCTATGCCATGAACATATGAAATGCGCAGCCACGCCCTATCTATCTTTGAGATATGGAGTGTGCATGCAGGCACACACTTAGAAGTTTCACTGCTCCACTGTCCATGTGAAGGAAAACTTCCTAGTAAAAAAAACTTCCTAAACTTATCTCTTAAGCCGTTCCAGGTGCATCTTTGGCTGTCTGACAGTATTACAATATCAAATATATTTATTTATTTATTAGTATTTTCATTATGCATATACAAACACACCGTAAACGGCTGAGCTTTCAGTTACTATTTATAAGAGGAAAACAATTAAAGGCATGATGACCTTGGTGGGTGCATTCAAAGGGATCCTCATGCAAAAACTAGACCTATCGTAACCGACATAAGGGTTTTGTCTGAGCCTCAAGTTCAGGGGTGGATGAACTCCTCCTTGTTCTGCACGAGGAATCCTTTGAATGCCCCTCCACACGTATCAGCGCCCAGATAAGACCCTGCAAACATGAAACAGCGATAGCGACATCAGGTCACAAAAATTTTCAAAAAATTTCCCGAAATGTCACAAAGACCTATAAGCACGCGTTCGTTAGTTTCGTTCTGAAGAGCATCACTTTTCAAGGCGAATTCCCCCTATGAGCTCCTCATCGCCTCCCCCCCCCCCTCCAACAGAAATAAGAATCATTTGAAATGTGAATGGGCGTTGTGGTGGTGAAATTTACTAGAAAGAGTAATGACAGCAGTACGACTTCGACCAGCTGTGAGGATATAAGTCCAGACGACGCGACGTACGTTACGATGGAAGGCGATGACCACACAGGGATTCGTCA